GTTTGGTAGAATTCAACAGTTAATCCATCCTGTCATTGGCTTTACTATGTGGGGAGAATTTTTATTAGTACTTCAATCTTGCTACTTGTTCTATATTGTTTAAGTTGTCTATCTCCTTGCTGTTTTTTTTTGATGAGTCATAACTCTGTAGGAATTTATTCATTCCTTCTAGATTTCCCAGTCTTTTGGAATGAAAATTTTCAAGATATTTCTCAATGATCATCTGACTTCATTGGCATTTATTGTAACATTTCCTTTTTATCTCCAGTTCTATTCAATTGGAATTTTTTTTTCTTTTGATTAGTTTGACTAGGGATTTGTCAATCTTAAGTTTATCTTTTCAATGAACCAACTCCTGTTTGTTTGATGATAAGTATTGTTTTAGCTTTAATTTCATTAATTTCTTCCCTGAACTTTTTTATTTCTTACAAGCTACTGCTTTTTGTTGTTTAGCTTCTTTTTTTTCTGAGAACCTGAGATGTGTCAATAGGCTGTTTAACATTGGATTGCTGAATTTCTTCTGCCTCTTCTAGGTTGAATTCATCTGCTGGTTTGTAGCATTCTTAAAGTTGATCACTTTTTTTTTTTCCATGAGGAATCTAAATACAAAGATCAAAGACATGAATGTAGAAAGGCACTGTCTGTGGACAGGAGCGAACTTGAGGGCACAGGAGGGTAGTGGGTCAGATAAACAGTACTTTTTTTTTTTGTTTTTTGGGTTTTTTTTTTGGTCTTTTTGAGACAGGGTCTCCCTGTAGCCCCAGCTGCCCTGGAACTCACTATGTAGACCAGGCTGGCCTTGAATTCACAAAGATCCACCTGCCTCTGCCTCCCGAGTGCTGGGATTAAAGGTGTGTGCCACCACGCCCAACTACATAGTACATTTTTATCATAGTGAAGTCCATTGCTTTTTATAGTTACTGTACTAATTGAGGGACATTTGGGGATACTTGGCTTGCTAGGCCTTAACACATATGACAGAATACATGAAGTTAAGTGGGGGGGGGGAGCTTTATGGGGTGCAGAGAGGGGAGGGAGACTAAATGTGATCAAGATGTATGAAATTCACAAAAATTCAATTAAAACAAAATAGCTTATGGAAACTTGCCTCATTTTTCATAATTATTATAAATTATAAGAATTACATGAAAAAATACATATAAACTCTCTAATCTGAAAATCTGAAACTTGATATGCTCTTAAATATGAAACCATTTGACTATCACCATGATGCCTTCAGTGCAGAAATTCCACATGACTTCTTACAGGCACACTAAAAATATTTTTGAGGGGCTTAGTGATTAAGGGCACTGGCTGCTCTTGGAGTGGACCTGGGTTCAGTTCCTAGCATCTGCATGGTGGCTAACAACCATCCTTAACTCCAGTTCCAGGGGATCCAATGACCTCTTCTGACTTCTGTGGGCATTGCAGAACACGGGTGCACTTACATACATGTAGGCAGTATTCTCATACACATAAAACACAAAATAAAAAATATTTTAAAAATATTTTATGAAATACTTGAAAGCTATGTGTACAAGATGTGTATGAAACAGGGCCATTGAGATGGCTCAGTAGGTAAAGATTCTTGCCACAAAGTCTAAGGCCTTGAGTTTCTTCCCAGGACCCACAATGGTGGAAGGAGAGAACCGACTCCTGCAAATCATCCTCTGACCTCTCCATGCCCATTGTGGTATATGAGCCCCCACTCCCACCAAATAAATAAATAATTTATTTTTTAAAATAATGCAAAAAATGAATTTTTTGTTTAGAATTGGATTACATCTTCCAAGACACTATATATGGAATATTCCCAAATCAAAAAATATGAAATCTAAAATACTTCAGGCCCTATGTGCTCCAGATAAAGAATACTATACTTATCTAGTATTTGGAGTAGTATTGATGTTTTTATTACCACTGTGCTTGCCTACATGGAATATTTTTAATATGCTGATTTCATAGTGTATTCTTTCTTCATCAGTGAGATGGACAGTGTAGTGTAATGCAGTTTGGAATGACTCATTTTATGAATTGTGCCCTGAGAGCATAACTGTGAAATGATGGTAACATGTTAAAATTATGGGCATTTACAGTGTATCCATGTTTGACATGAAAATAGAAATATAGAAATGCCATTTTCAGAAATCAGTTCAAAAGTAAAAAAACAAAATAAAACATTATTTTGGTTGTAGTCAGGGAATAGGTGAAAAAGGATGAGTTGAAGTGAGTTTATTCTTAATATTATTTTATTTTCGGGACTGGAGAGATGGCTTATCGGTTAAGAGCACTGACTGCTCTTGCAGAGGACCCCAGTTCGATTCCTAGCACCTACATGGCGGCTGCAAACCGTCCTTAACTCCAGTTCCAGGGGAATCTGAAGCTCTCTTCTGACCTCCGTGGCATTGCACAACACGGGTGCACACACTTACGTGCAGGCAATACACTCATACACATAAAATAAAAATAATAACTAAAATATTTTTAAGAAATTATTTTGTTTTCATTTTTCAAATACATTGCTTATTCAGTTTTCTGGGTTTTCTATATTGTTTCTGCATATTGGTGGGTTTTTTTTTTTGGCGAGTATTTACATCCTTGTTTATTTCTATGTTCCTTTCTATGTTTTGATACAGAATCCCTCTAAATCCCCCCCCATTTAGCTCTTTGCTCTTATAGTTATACTATTACTTTGTTATTATGCTAATGATATGTATACGTTTATATTGCTATAAACCTTTTAATCCCAGTAAGAATGCTAAGATATATATATATATATAAACTTTTTGCATTTTAATGGCCCAAACCA